CCTCTGCATACTCTTCCTTGATTTTTTAACACCTTTAAAATACTCATCCTCTCTATACTTTTCACTACTTGTAGGGTAATAGCTTCTTGATCCAAGGATAAATCTATCCGCTATTCTGGGGTCAAGAGGGAATTTTTTCCTAGTTTGTTGCAAAATTGGAAGTGCTTCAAACTGGGTTGTTTTGCCTTCTTTTGGATCAACAGCAAAAAACAAATGTGAGGAAGGCTGAACATGATGGACCCATGTCTCTTTTCAGCCTGCGTAACTATGTAAGTATGTAACTACTCTCTCTATATATATTTTTCCCTCTTCACACTAAGCTCCCACCTTATTCAACTAATCTTTTTTTCTAGTCTTCTTTTATATACCCCTTGTAAACACTGCATTCTTCTTTTTCTGACTTTATATCCTCTTCCTCGATTCTTTAACACGTCTGTTCTCTCCTTTAACCCCCATAATTTATCATTCCTTCCTTCTTTTTTCTGCATACAAAGTTGGAATGATATCTTTCTCATTTTCTTTAGACCTCTTTGGTATACAGCTATGTATGTATCTCTGTAATTCAGCAATACAATGCTCCATGAAAAAAGCATAGTGGTTGTGTCTTTATTTTCTGAGGTTTCTTCATGCCAGTGACGAGTGGAATGACAAAATCTTGATGGTTTACACAAACCCTTCTTCTTGTAACCTTCCACATTAATGAAGTCTTTCTGTGGTTCTGCAGAGCAGACAGATGAACTTTAACCTTTCAATCAAAATGAAGAACAAGGTCCGTCGACCCCCTTTCTGCGGTCCTCTTATTCCTGAGACTGACCTGTATGTTTGCAACATGGACCAGCGCCAACTGTTTGTTTTGACTAAGTGAATGCAATTAATCAGGGAACTGCAAATGCTTTGGCCTGGTTGTGTTTTATCTTAAAAAGAAACTCTAACTTTATGAAATTAAATGGGGTTTTTTAACGTAGAATGGTCAAACCAATGATTATGATCATGATCAGATGTGATTTGTCTTAGGAGGTCTTAAGCAAACATGCAAATGGTGGTAATAATGTTATCAAAATCAGCAGACTTTTTTCACACAGCCAATAAGGGGAACAACGTAAGGGTATTTAAGAAAGAGGCATAATGTGGCTGAGCTCTAAATATATCCTTGGGTTTCCATGGTGATTTCTCTAGTTTTAGAATGAAGACCCCCCAATAGAAAAAATACTTGCAATTTTGTGTTTTCATAAATATTATAGAAAACTGCCAAATTTAAGAAGGAGTTTAATAGCAGAAAGTATTGTTTACATAGAAAGACAGGTTTCCGAAGTATCTGTTTAAATGGTGGTTAAAGGCAATGATGAGAAAGTTCTGTTAAAGTATCTAATGTAATGAGTTTAGGTGACGTATAACATACAAATCAAAGACTTCTGTGATCAAGGTATATTGTCATTGTATGTAAGTAGTGCTGCTGTCCCATAGAGCAGAGATGCGCTGCAAATAATGTAGATAACACATTCACCTTCAGTATTGTATGAATGTAATCAATACAAAAGTCATCTGAACTTGAAAAGATTAACAGGCTTATTTACTAAAGTGAGAATAGACCACCAGTAGCTGAACTTAATTGACTTAGAGAATTTGTGCAGTTCAGCAGTTTTGACCTTTCATTTGAAATACACTTTGGAATTAATTTGTGAATTTTCACTTTAGTGAAATGTGGAATAAATGATGATAACCTACAAGTGACCTTCATATTTGCACTTATTAATGTAATGCCAACTGCATAGACGCAAAGACCATGGAGGTTAAATAATGTTGACTGTAGGGGTTTGCTGGGCGTGGGGGGTGGTAGAGTCCCAAGTGAGGTTCTAGAAAGCCCCTGATATAATTATGGCATTTTTTCACTGTTAGCCCCAAGTTCCCTGTATTATTGAGAGCGAAATAACACCTCCCGTAATATCATTTGTGACAGTGCTCCCTTAATACACCAAATATGGAGTGGGGGTATTGCCATGAGTGCAGGGATTTAATGCAATTGGGTGAAAGGGTAATACAGCGTGGCTTAGAGTTAATACATCAGGTAGGGATTTTATAAATAGAATCATGTACTATACATACTCTGAAGTCAGTCAAAGATCTGATGTCACAATGTGATTTATAGAACACATTACTATTTTCGGTTGCACGTAGAGTACGGCATAGGTTTGGTTTTGGAAGGGTCCAAGTCAATATGTGCAGGACGAGCAATAAAATGTACTCTTGGCCTGAAGTACTAGGCCTTTTTTCACCTAGCACTTTTTTATGTATCTATTCACAAGCAGTTTGTCTAAACTCAGGGGTGTCTGTAGAGGTTGAGTGGGTACCAACCCTTAATGTGGGATCCTGTAGCCCTGAATCTTTTTGTCTATGTGCTCTCCATGGCAGGGAAGGGGCCAGCCATGATATTGCAGTAAAGATTACCCTAGGAAGATCAGCAGACCAGTGTATATTTATTTTGTGTAGACTAAGTGGCTGGCATCAACAGCAGATGCATTCCTTTGGTGGACCTCCATGGCTTACTTTGTGTGTGAAGCAGAGATAGGATCTTATATCATCCTATCCACACCCACTCCACACATAGGGCCATGGCCACACAGGAACTTGATGTTCATATAAACAGAGGACCAACTGCATCCAGTCATCATAGAAGTGATATCCGAGGGATACAGTGAGACATCAGCAGTGGGAAAGGTGAAGGAACACAGAGAGATAACAGAGAGGCAGATTTGGATTGAAGAAGGATGCCAGAGGGAAGTGATATTTGATAGGTTGGGGTAACCAGGATGGGAAGTATAGGAGGAGACAGTACAACTGTGCCTATCTGTGTGTGTCTGTCCGTGCCTTTATATGCCTGTCTGTGTATGCATGTGTGTACCTGTCTGTACTTGTGCATGCCTGTCTGTGTTTGTGTGACTACTTTGAAACCACAAATACAAATCAAAGTAGAGAAAAATCCAGACATATGATATAAAATAATGTTTTGGATAAGTAAAGTGCATGTATCATTTACATGACAAAAATCACACAGCAGAAATGATCCTCACAAGTTACATTAATATTTATCTGGCATAGCTAAAAATCCCAATTTAATTGTATACAATGTTCCTGTATACTACTAATGCCACAGGGAGAATTGGGTCTTTTTCAGTGGGGTGAAGTAAACAATAAATTTGGTGGAAACAATTGATAATTAATAAAATTAATAGAATATTCAAATCGCTTTTGTCACCATAGATCTTCTCAATGTTTATAATCGAATAACTGTATTAACCAATCAATTGGATATTAATATGTAAACCATAAGATAAGTAAGAGAGAAAGGAGGGAGTGAACCAAAAGTTATTCATGAGTGAATTTTCACCCTACTTGCGAACTGATGGACTAGTCTATGAGAACAATAATAATTCTAGTATTCTTCAGCGCTTGTCAGTGACATTCATTAATTATGAATATTTAACGGGGGCGTTACTGTTATGACGCCAACCCTAACTTTATTTATCTATGGATTAACTGTTTATTCCATGAGGGAGTCTACCTGTGAACCGATTGACCAGTTTATGAGAACAACAATAATTCTAGCATTCTACAGTTTTTGGCATAGTCATTCATTAATTATGAATATTCAATGGGGGGCTCTTCGGTTATAATGCCAAGCTTAACTCTACTTGTGAATTCATTATTTGGATCTTAAGGGACAAATTTTAGTTGGTTTTATACTCCCAGAAATATTTGGAGTGAATACATGTTACCACATTACATTAAAGGACTACTATCGTCACCCAGACCACTTCAGCTCAATGAAGTGGTCTGGGTGCCAGGTCTCCCAGGTTTTAACCCTGCAGCTGTAAACATAGCAGTTTCAGAGAAACTGCTATGTTTACATTGCAGGGTTAATCCAGCCTCTAGTGGCTGTCTTCCTGACAGCCGCTAGAGGCGCTTCCCTGATGCTCAATATTGCACTGAGCACGCAGAACGTCCATAGGAAAGCATTGAGAAATGCTTTCCTATGGGCATTTTTAATGCGCATCCGGCTCTGGCCGTGCATGTGCATTTGGTACCACTCGAGAGCTGACGTCGGAGGGGGAGGAGAGGTCACCAGCGCCAAGGGAGCCCAGCACTAGATAAAGTTAAGTGGCTGAAGGGGTTTTAAATTTGACGCCTCTGGCTATGATTGCTCAATAGGAAAATTGATATCATTGGATAGATCTTCATCGGGGAGGAATTATGAAAAACAACAACTAGGGGTTAACTCTTTTGTTCTTTAGTTAACCCTTAGTGGTAGACAGTGTTCCTTGGCAAAATCATTGACATTCCAAGTCAATGTGAATCTAGAAAATAGATAATGAATATTGCTAGTAGCCGTTACTTGTGAAGATTATTAGGTTATAACCTGCAAATGAAAGCATGATGTTAAAACAGTCAGTTGGTGAATAAGTGAATATCTAACCATTGTTCTGTTTCACAAATCCGTACTAGAGGTGTGAAATGCTGTGTGGTGATCATTATTATGCACATAATTTTTTTTAGTTCTATGTTCTATGTTTTTCTTCAGTATATATTAATGATGATCCTATAGCAAGAGATATGCAAATGATTGCTGCAAAAAACTTGCAGAAAACTTGTGATTGGATGACTCGAGACAAGGTGCTACAGCAGTTAAAGAAAATTAATGTAAATAAAGCTACGGGGCCTGACAGTATTCACCCACGAGTACTTAAGGAGCTAAGTGGGGAAATAAGTGAACCTCTGTATTTAATTTTTTAAGATTCTTTTGTTTCAGGTATTGTACCAGAGGATTGGAGGAAGGCAGAAGTCGTTCCTATATTTAAAAAGGGTTCAAAATCCTTGTCTGGAAATTATAGACCTATGAGCTTAACTTCTGTGACTGGGAAAATATTTGTAGGGCTATTAAGGGATAGAGATGTCGCGAACCGTCTGCGAACTTCTCGCGAACCGTTCGCGGCGAACTCCGATCAGCTGACACATCCCGGCCAATCTCCAGCAGACCCTCCCTCCAAGACCCTTCTACTTCCTGGACAGCATCCATGTTGAAGGCAGCTTCAACATGGATGCTGTCCAGGAGGTGGGAGGGTCTGGGAGGGAGCGTCTGCTGGAGATTGGCCGGGATGTGTCAGCTGACCGGAGTTCGCCGCGAACGGTTCGTGGTGAACCGCGGCGAACCGTTCGCAAGAAGTTTGCGGACGGTTCGCGACATCTCTATTAAGGGATAATATTCAGGAATTCATTGGGAAGAACTTTGCTATTAGCAATAATTAACATGGTTTTATGAAACATAGGTCATGTCAAACTAACCTAATTGCATTTTACAAAGAAGTAAGTAGAAGAATAGATTAGGGTATTGCATTGGATGTGACTTATTTGGATTTTGCCAAGGCATTTGATACAGTTTCTCACAATAAGTTGTTCTTCAAACTAAAAGAAATTGGTCTAGATGAATATTCTTCTTCTTGGGTAGAACATTGGCTTAAGGATAGAGTACAACGAGTTGTCATTAATGGTACATTTTCAGGCTGGATAAATGTGGTAAGTTCTGTTTTGGGACCGCTTCTATTAAACATATTAATAAATGATCTTGAAATAGGCATTGAAAGCAATGTGAGCAGGATATTGCTTTGCTGCAGAGGGATTTGGGTAGATTGGGGGACTGGGCACTAAAATGGCAGATGAAATTTAACATAGAGAAATGCAAAGTTATGCACTTCGGGGTTAAGAATGCACAAGCAACTTATACCCTAAATGGTAGTGAATTAGGGATAACCACACACGAGAAGGATTTGGGAATTATTATCGACAACAAATTAGGCATCAATGTGCAATGTCAATCTGCAGTTGCTAAGGCCAGTAAGGTTTTGTCATGTATAAATAGGGGCATAAATTCTCGGGATGAAAATATAATTTTGCTTCTTTATAAATCGCTGGTAAGACCACACCTTGAATATGCTGTGCAATTTTGGGCGCCTGTTCTAAAGAAGGATATCATGGCACTGGAGAGGGTCCAGAGACGAGCTACAAAATTGATAAAAGGAATGGAGCATTTTAGTTATGAAGAAAGGCTAAAAAAATTAAATCTGTTTAGTTTGGAAAAACGGTGCCTGAGAGGGGATATGATAACTTTATACAAATATATTCGGGGCCAGTACAAACCGTTATCTGGAAATCTATGCATAAACAGGGCTATACATAGGACACAAGGTCATGCATTTAGGCTGAAAGAAAGGAGATTTCATCTAAGGCAAAGAAAAGTTTTTTTTACAGTAAGAGCTATAAGGATATGGAATTCTCTGCCTGAAGAGGTGGTTTTGTCAGAGTCCATACAGATGTTTAAACTGAAATTGGATAAATACTTACAAAAACATAACATACAGGGATATAATTTCTAATTAGTGGGGTAATAGCTGCTTGATCCAAGGAGACATCTGACTGCTATTTTGGGGTCAAGAAGGAATTTTTTCCTAGTTTGTGGCAAAATTGGAAGCACTTCAGACCAGGTTTTTTTGCCTTCTTTTGGATCAACAGCAACAACATTTGTGAGGAAGGCTGAACTTGATGGACGCAAGTCTCTTTTCAGCTATGTAACTATGTAACTATATATATATATATATATATATATATATAAAGGAAAATAGATCTTGCACTCCATATTCTATTTCAGTACTTGCCCGGTGCTCGTCAAGCCCAGTATATAAAAAGTAATCCAAACAGCACTCCCAGGTCTTTGTAAAGTAGAACTTAGCTTTTAATCAGCTTGCCATAAAAAGATTCAACGTTTCAGTTTGCTATGCACAATCCTGATGAAAGTTTGTGTATAGCAAACTGAAACGTTGATTCTTTTTATTGCAAGCTGATTAAAAGCTAAGTTTTATTTTACAAAAACCTGGGAGACGATGTATATATATGAAAGAAGGTGAGTGCACTCTGGGGTCTGTGATAAGTATAAATGCTTTTATTCAGCACAATATAACATTGATGTTATACATTTGATATAATATTGTGCTGAATAAAAGCATTTATATTTATCACAGACCACAGAGTGCACTCAGCTTCTTTCCTATGTTATGACTGGAGTCGGCACAGGGGCACACTAAAGATCAGGGAACTGGAGTGCTGGGACCGTGAATCTATATATAGATATATAGATATATATATATATTATTCTTTTTTTCTTTTTGGCTAGTTTGTGCATTTGGTTAAAAGGGCCAGTCTTTATATCAATTTCTTCCGACTGGTTAGAGCTTATTCTAATAAGCTTATATTTTAGCTGCTCAGCTTGTCATCACGGCCTCTCTAGCTCAGAACTGAAATAGGTCACAATTAAGAGGTTCAAGGTATGTCAATTTCACATTTGTTCCTCTTATTTATGTTATCTATGACTCAAACGAGCCCTCTTTACCTGACATATTCTTATAAGTTCCCTCAGATCTCCCAGAAAAAGCCCAGTTTAACCTATGGACTGGAGACAGAGACTAAATCGCTGTGAAGTTTACGGTAATCTTGCTGCAGAAGGGAAAAAATTGTGCCTTCAGTGTATCAGATTGGTGTCGAATTCTGCTTTGGCCAGCACTTTATGTTCCATCTCCACTGATGTTTTTTCAATTATCAGACAAGCAGAAAGTGTCAGGGAAGCTACTAAAGTAGGCAAAAGATTCAAACCCTTGAGACGTGCAGAGCGATACCTCTGAGATAGGTTTTGACCGAGAGGCTACTCTTAGAGAAGAAAACTATTCTTTGGATGCAGAGGAACCATCTCACTGAGGAGGATTTGATGAGAAAAAGACAGAAGTCCTAATTAAGGCAGTCAGAAAGACCCTGAGCCTGGAAGAGTCATCAGCACAAGTGCCTTCTTGCAGTAAACCTTTTGCAAGTCAAAGAAAAGAGAAATGGCTTTTCCATTGCATTACACAATAAAAACCCTAATTCAAGAAGAATAGGATAAATCTGAGAAGAGAGTAGTTGTGCAAGGCAAATGGTCCAGGTATCCATTTAAAAAGTCTGAATATGCCACAAGTGTCACAGCTCCAATAGTGGATAAGGCAGTGGTTAGACTTGCCAAGAAAACCATTCTTCCTCTTGATGATTTTGGCTCATTAAGGGAGCCTTTGGAGGGAAGGATTGACACTAACCTTTCTAAAGCCTATGTGACGGTGGGATCAAGTCTTCATCTGGCCGCAGCTCTGACATCTGTTTCTAAAGCCCTCACATTGACTGGATTTGTCAGTCCTGAATACTTTCTTGTATGCAAGACAATTCAGAATGGAATGCTTAATCTCAATAGTGAAAGTAGTTTCCCCAAAACATTGGCTTATTTCAATAGATCTCATGGACTATTACTTCTACATACCAATAGCCAGAAATAGGTTCCTGAGATTCTGCTTGAGTGACATACACCGACAATTCAGGGCTCTTCTCTTAGGTCTAAGCTCTGCTCCAAGAGTGTTTTCTAAAATCCTTGTCTCTCTCATGGCAGAGATATGACAGAGAGGGATTTATATATTTCACTGCTTGGATGACACTCTAGTACTGCCAAAATACATCTTAACACTAATATCCCATCCATGAACTGTCTGCTCCATCCTGAAACAACATGTATGGGTGATAAACCTGTCAGTTGATAACCATCCAAAGGATGGTGTAGTTGGGTGCTCTTTTCCATACGAGTTGGGGCTTTGTTTGCCTGTCAGGAGACAGGTCTTCATTTGAAGTATCAAATCTAGAAGGTGATTCTATTATGCAGGATGTTGGCCAGGTCTTACATGAGCCTTCTGAGGTCACTTTTCTCGGCTATAGGACTGACAAGGTGGGCACAATGGCATCTCAGAATCCCACAGCTGTCATTCTTGTGCCAATACAGGTATCAGGACCTCAACCAGCAGATTGTGGTAACTCCCAGAGCCAAACAGTCTCTCAAGTGGCCTTCGGTAGACAACCTGTTCAAAGGTTTTCCACTATGAGCAATAATGTGGAAGATTGTTACTACAAACACATTTCTGTCAGGATGGGGAGCTCATGTGGATGTCAGCTTATGGGATTTCGATCTGCCATTCTTTTTGCTTCTTGAATTAATTGATGTTTTGCAATATTAAATTCTCAGCAGTGATCTTTGTTGTTCAGTCTGTTTATTACCCTCCTTAGGTTTCCTTGCTTGTTGATTGCCTAGGAATATTGCTGCCATGACCATGGCTGGAAAAATCATAAATTGTGTCATAATTACCAATATTTTCTTTTCCTGGTCATGGGCCATGGCAGCACTACGATGCCCTTTTTACTTTGTGTCTAGTTACAAACTGGGACTGCATTGTCAAAAGGGGCTACCTTATAGGCTTTGACGTTTTTTTGAAGTGATAGGAGGAGCTAACCTAAGAGTAGTGCTGTCATGGCTCATCACTGAAAAAAAAAAAGAAAATACTGGCAATTTTCGATTACACAAGACTATAATAAACCCATTTTCATAAATTTACATATATTTAATATAGTATTACCTCTATTTTTCTGAAAGCGAGTAGAGTAACACTTTAAAAAGTTACTATAACCCTTTTCTCGAGTATGTTTTGTTTGCTTTATTATGCCCTATTGGACACTATTATCAAGGCCCACCCTTATTTTACTTTAAAAAAACAATTACTTAATGTTTAAACTTACCTTGAATCCAGCGCCAGGCAAGGTCCTCATTGCTTGTTTCCATGCCTGTCTGACGTCATACATCATCATCCAAGGTCCAATCAAGTGCTTCTTTGTGAGAGAGGGATAGAAGAAGGGTTTTTGAAAAATTTTAAAAAAAAATGTAATGTTCTAAACAGAGTGAGATGAGGAGGGATGGGGGTAGTGAAGGAGGGGGAAATTTTAAAGCTTCTACCCTGCAAGGTTAAATGCTAATTAAGTCTGTTGCTAGCACTCAGTGCGTGCAAATTAAGTCTGTTGCCAAAGCGCAGTGCGTTACTTAATTTTTTGTAGAGAACTCACATTAGGCAGCCCAGAACAGAGTTACAGGTTGACTACATTACATGTGCCGGGGATGTAACTAGCCCCTGGCACAAAAGTGCCGATTCCTCTGTATGTACAGCATTTTAAGCAGAAACACTGACATAAAAATTCCCAACACTATTACCACTTCTAAAAT